AAGTTGTCCACACACAATAAATAAGAAAACACACACATGTATTTCTCCTGACTGCAAGATAATGGGATTCGGGTGGTGGATGAGATTAGGTTTTGGAGAGACTTTGTATGCTTTCAAAAATTGCAATAAGATGGACATTCAGCTTGTTGTTTGGCACTGCAGGGGTGAGTTGTTTCCTTTTTCCAGTGATCACACAATGCAATCACTGGAGTGAACCAAATTGCTACCCTCAGCTTTCTGAGCTGCTTTTTTGATGCACATAGGATCATTCTGGTTTGGTCCATGTCCAGCACATGTGCTCATTGGGAATGAACCAAAGGTGAGCCTTCTAGCTGTCAAGGCTCTTCCTCTGCCCCTTGGCAGAGGGGCAGGGGAAATGATTTTAAAAAAGACTGTAGAAGACCTTTGCTGATGCACTGTATCACTTATTTAAATTTTTTTATATATATAATTCGTCTTGGATTCAACTGCAGGCAGTTTCTCAATCAGCCATTCAGACAAGGAAATATATACACACACCTATCTATCTATCTATCTATCTATCTATCTATCTATCTATCTATCTATCTATCTATCTATCTATCTATCTATCTATCTATCTATCTATCTATCTATCTATCTATCTATCTACACATGTTTGTGTGTGTATAGTGATGATAGATAGATAGATAGATAGATAGATAGATAGATAGATAGATAGATAGATAGATAGATAGATAGATAGATAGATAGATAGATAGATAGATAGATAGATAGATAGATAGATAGGTAGATAGGTAGATAGGTAGATAGGTAGATAGCCTTGTCTGAAGGGCTGATTGAGAAACTGCCTGCAATTGAATCCAAGACGAATTGGAACAAATATGTTTACCTTAGCTCTGGTACACTTTTCAAGCACAGACAAGGTTATGATCTGTTGAAAAGTAGTAAGCCATATTAGAAAATGTCACTGGCAACCAGCTTCCTTCCTTGCAATCATGAAGACATGATTGCCAGGCTCTGCTCATGACACTGGCTGACGAAGGAAGAGGGAAAGTACATTCCTGCACTTCGGTCCACCCATTTCCATGCACTAGTGCATACAGAAAGAGTCCTCTCCCAAGACCTAACCTCCCATACAAAGGATATACATTCCTTCTGTGAGTGACAAACAATCACAATAATAAAAAGAAAGGTGGAAAGAACAAAACAAGCACAATTGGACAGTGGCTGGCACCCACATGTGAAAAGCTGTGTGTCTAAAATTTGTCACAAGTCATTCTTCCACTGATGTCTACCACATTGCCATATTTGCTGGTGTTGTATAAAACTCACCCAAAGCTATAGCCATTCTTGTGTCTCCATTCAAACAAATAGGTGTTCTGGATATTCAGAAGCCTGAATATTGGCACAAATCTGGGTTGAAATTGAGACAGCAAAATTAGTACCAAATTGGATTAGGTCCAGTTTAAAGGGGATCTGAACCGGTACCTAAAGCAAACTGAGAAATCTGTGTAGGGCCCTAAATGGATTTTACAAAGTACAGAACTACAGTCATAAGTACATGGCTTTGGTGTTGTATATAGATATTGAGATCATAGAGGTGAGGTTCTCTTTTCAACAGTACCTGGATTTCTTTCCCTGCTGATCAAATTTCATCTCTTTTCAATTATCATTTATTTTTCTCTACTGCATAGATGATTTTTTTCTATGCTGATGACTGCCACAGTGGGAAATTTTGTCATGATAGTCACAATGAGGGCTAGGAATTCACATTTTAAAAAGAGAGAAGAATGCTGATATTTACGATGGGAACCTGTTGGTTTTGTAGCCTACAGCTGAAGGACTTGATAGCTGGCTTTTTTCATGCAAGGTTCAATACAGTATAAATGAACTGGTCAGTTTGTTGTCTTTTCCGTGTTATCGTCATCAAGGACAAATACTAGTCGTGCACGGTTGAGATTGTCTTTAAACAAGAAAAGGATTAAATACTTACGAGAGAGCTTTGCTGTATTCTGCACAACAGATTTGTTTCTACACCCATGAAGCATGCTGCCTGCATCTCAAGTGTATTTTCTAGAGAGTAACAGTGACATAAAATGGATGCAGGCATAAATTGTTTTAGATGGGAGTTCACACAATAAACCCTTGTTCATGTGTGATCCTATTCATCATATTCTTTTCTTTCCCAGCATTTCTTTTCATAGGAATGTCCCTGCAATCAATAGTGTATCATAGATTGGCACCATCTCAGTGACTTCTTGCAGATGGATAGAAAACCCTTTTTTTATTACCACTGGGTGCTGCAAATGTTTGACTGCTCGATTTGCAGAAGTCCCCAGGCAAATTGAAATAAGCCTTGCATTGTATCTCAGCAAGGATACTAAGTTATCCTTATTCAGATTAAATGTTCCTCTTTTTATCCCATATATACCACTAATCCTCCTTGAGGGCAAAAGCTGGAGATGTCAGTCAACTCAACTTTAGAAAGAACCGCAATGTCAGTTGTGTGCTCTGTTCCCGTCCCAGAGCATGAGGAATTGTTATATGTCAAGTTAACATTGGCACATGATTTAAGAACCTTGTCTTCTCATCTTAATTTGTTCCTATCATGAAGGAGCTCACTGACAGGGGAGTGAGTTCCTTCAAGAAGCTCACTGTAAAAATACAGCTTCCATTCAGGTTGCATAGTCTTATTTACCTTTAACAATGGAAAAAGAGAAAAAAATTCTGCATATGATTCTGCATGGGAAGACTGAGCAAGATGTTACAACAGGCAGTTTCCATGTAATGCTGTTCTTCAAGCATTCATAAGCATATATCCCATCAGTTCTTATGCAACAAATGGAATGCATCCATTCCAGAACAACACGACCAAAGGAATGTACCATTCTATACAATAAATATAAGGGCATGCAGCTCTTCTAACTTGTTCTAACTTGTTGCTTCCAACTGTTTTCTCACTTTGAAATTGTATTTATCTGCAACAATGCTACAGCAGGTCCTCCTCCTAGGTCCTCCTTTAAACCTTGATATGCTTAGCCATTCAGTTTTCCTCTCCTTTCTTTTCTGACTTCTTCCACACTGTTTTGTCTGTTTCAATAATACTTTTTGCCTTGCCACATTTACATCAACACCTGAAATCCAGTAGTTAAAAAAAATCACAACTAGAGTAAACCCATTCAGTCAATGGATATTTGGTGAGGCAACTCCTCTAAGTCCCATTGATTCAATTTATGTACTCGGATTGTGACTTACTACTGGATTTCAGCCAATGTCTTCTTAATTTCCCTATTTTATAAAGCACAGACAACTCCCACCACTCCTTACCATTGCATGCGCTGGCTAGGGCTAATAGCAGATGCAATCCAAGAACAAGTGTAGGACCCATTCCTTATTCCTAATATATCAGTACTAGGTTCTCTTTCCTATATTTATTTTTTTACTGCCCCATTTTCCTCCTTTTCTCTGGTCATCATTTAACATATCTATGCTCATGATTTTTCAGCTTTGCTGTTGTATACTTGATCTTTGTCCTTTTCATACATGTCCTTTTTTCTGGGCTGTTTCTGAGCATTTAGTTACTTAGACATGTTTTGCCAAAACTGAGCACCTGTTTTCTTTTCCATCTTTCCCACTATTCTAAATATCACATTGTTTTGTTAATGCTAGCTGGTCTTTTGAAGCTTTGAATCCCTGAATGCTTTTGATTCTGGTCTTTCCCCCATGTGTTTTCTTCATGATCTTTGATTCTGAACTTTTCTTCATATTTTTTTAATGTCATTTTCATTTGATAAGTGTACCTTTAGTTTGCTGTTTTCTCAATAGAGAGAATTATCAAAACTGCAGTTTCTGTTTTCACGACAAGATTTCTTATTCTTCCTATTTCTCAGTCTTTCCACTGTCTTAAATACTGCAATTTGTCAGATATTTTTCTCTTGCTGTCCAAATCATATTAAACACTCTATAATTTTCCTTCCTTCCTTCCTTCCTTCCTTCCTTCCTTCCTTCCTTCCTTCCTTCCTTCCTTCCTTGTATCTTCAAATTTCTTCCACATGCTTCCTTCCACACGCATGGCATTTATTCAGTGCATGTTTGATATCCTGTATAATCATCTTCAGAAGCATTGCTGGTTGGTACCAGTCTTCTAATTATTCCATTTTTGTCATTTGTTTGTTCTTATATTGTTCATTTGTTCATTTTGTTCCCTTCCTTTCTCCCTTTCCCAAGAGGACTCATGTTGGACAAAAACTAGGGTCTGAACTCTTGGAATGCTTTAACACTTCCACCTGACTCCTCCCTCTACTTCCTTATTTCTATAGTAATCTGTTTTTCAAAGACATCTCTCCTTTCCCTGTGTTTTCCCAGTTTAGTTGAAGATCTAACATGTCTCCAGTATATGGAAGCTGTGCCTTTCCACTGAAGAGAAATGTAAAATTACCAGATGAGGTGATTTTGCAAATCATGCACATCTGAGGATGCTGTCATTTGCATTGTAGGGAACTGTCCTGTATAGTATTGAAATAATAGCATGTGACAAGAAATAAACAGTACTTTGGAATACTTTGGATTGAATGGCACTGGGATTGGAGCATTTAAAAAACTTTTCATTAGCTTGTCAATGTTTAGGATGAGCAAACTGTTGACATTCTTTGAAAACCTAGCCAACAGCAATAAAAAAGGCTGTATTTTCCTTTCCAAAGGGAATGCAAAGCATCATAGTTTGGTATGGGTTTTTAACAAATGAACTTAAGCTTAACAAAACAACATTTGCTGGAGATGGTTGGTTGCGCTGAAGACATGCTAGATAGCTAGATAAAGCGATTTAATTCTGGATTATTGGCAGAGTAACTGTTCAATGACTTGTCTTATGACTCTACTTTCTTATCCTCTGTTTCTTTTTCTGGGATATAGACCATCCAACACCATTCTGCCCAAATACATTCTCCCTTGCATAGGAGAACATTGCTTGTAGGACTGTGAAGATGTTGTCCTTACTAATATGGTAAATTCTGTTTCAGAAATCAAAAATTGCCACGTATGAAAAGATGTGGGCCTTTATGAATAGCAGGAGGCAGTCGGTGCTCGTCAAAAGTAATGAAGAAGGCATCCAGCGTGTACTCACCTCTGATTATGCTTTCCTAATGGAGTCTACTACCATTGAGTTTGTCACACAACGGAACTGTAACCTGACACAGATTGGAGGCCTGATAGACTCCAAAGGTTATGGTGTCGGAACTCCCATGGGTAAGTGTTATTTGGAGGGAATTCATCAACCACAATTTCCGCAACAAACTGTTCCTGACCCCAACTAGCAATATGTATTAGCTGGGGCTGAAAGCACTGTGTATGTACATTAGCAAATTCTACTAATTTACATAGTCGTAGTAAAGCATATGATTATTGGGATGTTTTATATGACCTCCTGTGATCATGCAGAGTGATGTAAACATGATGATTATTATAATCACTATAATCATTTTTTTTACCTGAAGAGATGCAGCATGTATTTATTATGCAATATATATATTGTTCAGCAAGGTGTTTGGTAACCTGTAAAATATAAGGCCCACAGTTTTCTCATGTGAAAATGATGGGTTGTTGTTGTTTTTAATGTAGATCTTATGTATCATAAAAAAATATATCACAGTATTTATTGTGTTTCTGGTTGTTCAGATGCATGTCCTTTTGAGCTGGGTGGCAGATTTATTCAGTAAAAGTCCTGGGAAGCTGTACCAGGTGAATTATGGCATGTCTAGAGCTGTTTTCATGAAATTGTAAGATCTATCTCTTTGACCTGGCTTTTGCCATGCATTTACTTACATTGGCCAAAATCCTCTTGCATAGCTTTGCAGATAGTGTGACTTTGGGAGGTGAATTGTTCCAAGTTAAGAAGTCACTGTAGGTATTACCAGTTGCCTGCCAAATTATACAACACAGTATGCAACTGATAATACATATGGTGATTTCTTAACTTGGGGCAAATCATGTCTGAAAGTTTCACCATTTGTGTTACTCCAGCATAAGAAGGTAAGAGAATTTGGACCACTGTATTTTATTGCAGCATTTTTTAAAAAATGCTAAGCATTCTCAGAAGTATTCTTTTTGATGTTCAATAGCATTTACTTCAGAATAGGAAGGGAAATGATGACTCATGATTAAAAGAGGAAGAGCAAACATAGATCTTTCTTTCTTTCTTTCTTTCTTTCTTTCTTTCTTTCTTTCTTTCTTTCTTTCTTTCTTTCTTTCTTTCTTTTGTGGCCACAGACCCAAATTATATAAGCATAAGAACAAAATAATAGAATAATCATTAAAATGTATTGTACGCATATTTAAGAAAAATCAGTCAGTTAAAATAATTGAGTCTTTTTACGAGGTCTTACAATAGAAAACAGAAACTTGGCTACAGACTTTGTGATTGTTTTGTTCTTACAGACCAATACTCCGTATACCATGTAAATGGCCTTCCAGGGCATTTCCTCAAAATAGGACAGATAAGTCTATTATATTATTCTATTTAAAGGCTACATTCAAACAAGGCATAGCCCAAAGACTCAACTAATTCATCTCCACCAGCACATAGCTGATCTTCATAAAGAATGCTGTAATAGTGCCCTTCCGATATTGTTAAATGGAGACAGTTTAATTTAGCCTTGGAGAAACATGCCAGTATTTAGGGACAATGAGTTTATCCAAATACCTAGTATGTTTAGGAAAGTTGAAATTTAAGCCAAAATGCACTGGAGAACAAGTTCTGTGGCCTTTGATAGAGAATATTGAAAATCTGTGTCTTTGATTTGTTGTTCTAAGATGAGTTTTATAATAGGCACAGCTCGAAAGGGTCCCCTTAGTCTCTGTCAGTTTTGGTATGTGGAATTCTAATGTTAAGCACTTATTGATTAACTCATTGAGGCAGAGATTTAATAATATGTGAGATAGTATCTGGTCCATGGGGTCATGAAGAGTTGGACACGACTTAACAACTAAACAACAACAATGCAGCCCTGGTAGAACGCTCTAGTGGTAAGAACAGGATTTGTCAAATTACCCTCCTGACCACACCTTATCCAAATTGTAGTAGGATCATAAATTGTTTCTCCTTTCCATGTTAAGATGAGATATTTCTGTTGATGGTGGTCCTTGAGATACTTTCTACGTTTGTGAGATTAATTTTTGTGCATTTTTATAATACACAAAATTTAAAACTGCAACCTATGTTCTGTCTTGTTGAATGAAGAGTTAAAGTACAGAAGCTTTGGATATCTTATCTAAATCTTTGTGAGCAATTGGTCTGTATTTTTGTATTTGCCATGTGCGTGTGCACATGTGTAAATGCTTGTACTGTATTCACAACAGGAAAATACACAGCTTAAATCTATTTTTGCACAGATTCGCCCAAATTTCGGAATCCTCAACAGCAACAACAAAAAGCTTAACCTGTTCTTGTATTGGGAATGAGAAATCTTGTGGTTGCTTGTAAATACTTGGCAGGCTGTTTCAAGGTGGCTGGATACCTCAGTGGTTAAGGTATCTAACTGTGGAGCTACGGGGTGGGAGTTTAATTCCCCACTGTGCATCCTGTAAGTAGAGCTAGCCAGTATGTTCCCAAGATAGGACATCATGATGATGATGATGTTGTGCCTGTCCCAACATGTCAAGAAAGGCTATAATGTCATGAATAAGTATCAAGATATTTTGATACAAAATACAAGTTGTTCTTAATGGAATATCATTATATTTTGGCACTTATGTGAGGTCACTTTACTAACTCCATAGACATACTTAAGATATATGCCACTGATTGATAGTTTTTAGTTGCTTTAGGCATCTTAACTTGGATTAGGGACTAGGGAGCTGTGGCAATTCTCCTGACTGTCAGCTATTTTAACTGGGATAAGCCATTCCCCGCCCAGTCTGGAATAAAGAGACAGACACCTATATATGGGTTAACTTTATTAACTTATTTATAATAACCTCAAAATCCCTTTTTACAAGGGGGCTCCCATAGTGGATCAAACTGGTCTGTAACCAGAGTCAACCATAACCTTCCAGTCCAGACTGCCAATCAAGTTCCTATACTGGAATTGTGCTGCCCCACCATATAGGACACTTCCAATTCTCCACTAGCTGTGGTACCACAAGCCCGCCCCATTTGGGCCTCCTAACCCTAATTGTACAGCATCCCCAGGGTCTACATCTTCCCCTCCTAAACTTCTGCTGCTCTCCTCCTGAGACACCCGCTGGGTGCCTTCTTTGGAACTCATCTAACCCTTATCCTTTTGCTCTACCTGCCGTTGTGACCTATTTAATGGGGTTATTTATTACTGATAGCCCTTAACCGCCCTCGCAGTTAAGAATGGGATGGGGGAAAAAAAAAACACTAGCGCTGATGGCCAATTCAAGTACCAGTCAAAAATTCCCATCTGGTCCCAAAGCGACCAGCTAATCTCACTCTTAACATAAAGGGCAGGTGGGTGGGCCAGCAACGAAGGTAAGGAGGGGCGAGGCGAGGCTGGGAAGCCTTTTTCAGGGCCTTGCTTTTGCCCAGCCCCCTCACCTGATCTGCCACAGGGACACCTGTGTCTGTCTCCTCCAGCATGGCGGGCAAAGGAGCCCCATCCTGGCAGCAAGCACCTCACAAAGAGGCCCTTCTAGGACTTTGGGAGCGAATACCTTTTGTGTATTGTGCCATGGTTGTGGAAGAAATCTCAACAACATAACCTCAAGCTCTAAGTGATTCTGGAAAATAGATAGGTCTTGATATTGTTTCAGAAATTGACTTCCATCTCAGTTTTAACATCTGGAATGGATTCTGAACTTGATGGAAGAAATGGGTCGAAGAGAAACCCAGTGATATCAGCAGATTTGACCAGCTTGCAAGTATCTTTGTTTCATTTCTTGTGTGCAAGCTGTTAGTCCTGTTAAAAAAAATTTACTTATATCTTGCAGCTTTTAAAATTGTAAGAAAACTTCATGCTGTTAAGCAGAAAATGAATATGACTAGAACACATAGCCCTTCCAGCAGAATCATGCTGGTCATGAACCCTTATAGTCAACATCCTCACCAAGGTTCAAAAGTTTAGATGGGAACCCTGAGGCTTTCCTATTGCTTTTGTCTAGGAATTCAATTTTCACAACTTTTTATGAGGTTCTGTGATGGAATAGAAATGGGGCTGGCAAGCATCCCACTATAAACCTCCATTTTTTGTTTTTGTCTGTCGTTTTACTCTTTCTTTTTCAACAAGTTATTATAGGAGAAAAATACATAGGAGATCAAATGGATGAAGCTTCTGGTAGCTTGTATGTACACGAAGTTCTATTTTGATTTTTCAAAACTTAGTGAAATGCTATCAATAGCTCTTATTGCAGGCACTGAAATGTCTGTTTAGACAATGTTATCATTATTCGCTACCACCACCATCAACGTTGCTGTTGCTAGGGGGCATATTTCTTATGTTACTTCAGTCCGCTGAACAGCACATGATTAAAATGCTGTTTGGAATTAGCTCATTTTGAAGACTTGTCTGGTTCATATTATTTGACTGGACACAGCCTCAAGAAAGGTTTTTCCACACTCTGCTCTCTTAAATTAAAGGCTTCGCCAAAGAAAAAGGAGATTCAGGCAATAATTTATGATCTGTAGCTGCATACCTCTGTTCTAGGAATATGACTCCATGAATTATTTACACTTATCCATGCCATTAATGAGTGCATTACAATGCTGCTGCTCTACCTTTGTGTCAGGAGTCTTTGCTTCAGGTCGGCTTTAAACCCACTGTGTAATGCAGTGCAATATTTAATTTGTATGCAGTAGCCAATAATAAACTGTTTAGATAACTCATGCTGCATTTCTTTGTCTTTTACCTCTTGGCAGCAATTTGATACTTTATGTTTTTTTCCCCTCATATTGAATCGTACAATTCTAGCCTTCCCATTTCAAGAATTCATTTCCGTATTTACAAGCATATCTAGCTTTAATTCTTTGCTCTTCAAACTGAAATGTATCCCTAAAGTTTCATTTAGGCATGAGTATATACCATAAGGATACCAAGTGTGATGTAGTGGATAGAGTCATGGACTCTGGCTCATGAGGCCTGGGTTTGTATCCCCACTTAGCCATGAAAGCTCACTGGAGGAATGGAACTGGTAAAAACCACTCCATAAATATCTCACTTACCTTAAAAACCATGTTAGCATCACTATAGGTCAGTTCCAACTTGACAGAGCATAAGAAATACATCATAAAC